CTGTTTCAGAGTTTTTCTTGTTCTTTTAGTTGTTGTTGTTGTCGATTCACGGTGATACTTTTACGAGCAAATGTTAGCCAATCTGACGATTACAGACACCCATATCCATGGCAATTTGTTGCTATCTTATTTTCTTATCCTATCGACGGGCACTGCAGGACTCTTTGTTTTGATATTGCCGCCGCCAATGATGCCCAACACCGATAAAACAAAAATAAAGCAAAACAAAATCAAGCTTCCATATGATATATGTGAGTGTGTGTGTGTGTGTATGTGTGGAGGAAGGGGGGGAGGGAGGTTTATTTACAAACACCAGAGCCCTGCACTCATTCATATCCAAGCAGTTTGCAGCTACAGCCAATCACTCATCATGCTTGTGAATCAATATATTGGATACTTGAGGGTGGGTAGCATGAACTTGGCTAGCATCTGGGAATACGCATTAATATTCTCAAGTTGTGCTAAAACCCGACCTTGTTATAATAGCTATTATTATTTATAACAAAGGATATGGATATATGTATATGCAAACCTCGTTTTCAATACCTTTAACCAATATGACCTTCCGCTAAATCAATGCGACATACAAAGACAAGCCGGGGACTCGATCTATGCGTTTCATTAATACAGTTTATTACTTTTAAAAGGCTTTATTGTCTAGTTGCACTAGACATGCCACCAATTGGTACCACTTGACGTCAATGCAGGCCATTCATACCAAAAACATTCATATCCTTACTGTGCACTTGCTTAAATGACTGTAGATCACTCAGACAGTTCATCTATTGAAGACGTCGTATCCTTTTTTTTTAAGCTCATCAACTTTGAACAACTATATTATATAGCTTTCATAGGAAAAATCCATCCAAATTATCAGATATGATTTAACTTCTTTAATATTGTTTTCACAACTTCCATATTTAACAGATATAACTGCTAGACTCCTGCCGACTGGCGTCTCACAGTCTGGCGATTCCTCACTCTCCTTCTTGATTTTTTAATTCTAGCTCTGTATACACTAAAAAACTGTATGACATAACTAATGGGGAAAAGGCAACTGGAAATAGGGCGGTCTAATGGTATTATTGATAACATGCAGTCAGGTTTTCCTGAAGCACCCATGTCGACTGCATATCCAACGCTTTCGACTTTATTGCACCGCTTCACCACCCATTTGTTTACATTATTTGTTATAAATATATATTTATATATATATATATTTTTTTTTTTGGATTGGTTTGACAGACTTGAGAGGCTTTCGCAAGTGTTTTCGGGCGACACAATGCACCTTCTGCCATCTTCCACTCATGCGCCCCGAAGCAGCCTGGAAGAATGGCATTGGAGGAGGCGACGAACTATTTTTCCCCGTTAACGTGTTCACTTTTCAAGTGCTTCCTTTGTGACTGACTGACTGCCTGACTGGCTGACTGGCTGACTGACTGACTGACTGAGCGCCTGTCTACGTATATAATGCATGGTCGGGCGCTCGGCCGGCATAAACACTGACACAGCCATGACGTGTGCCTTTCAAAGAAACGCAAACGCGAACCGTCGAATGCCAGTCCCGGTCCCAGACCCAGTCCCAGTCCTCAGTTCCAGCCCCAGTCCTCAGACTCAGACTCAGTCTCAGTCCGAGTTCTCAGTTCCCAGTTCTCAGTTCTCAGTGCTCAGTTTCAGTCACAGTCTCAGTCTCCAGTCACAATCGCAGTGTCAGCTCGTGCGAGCGCGAAAAGCAAAGATTATAATGCCAAACAACTTCAGAACGTTCCTTAGGCAGTTGACGACGCCAAACTTCGTCGTTAACCCTTATGTGGCCCTCCTGATTTATGCCCAATTGGCATGTCGCATACAAATCCAAAGTCCTCGTGTGTTTCTGTGTGTCCCCGGAATGTAACTTGTGTACTTATATAAAAAGCTAGTGTCAAGCACACCCAATGCACACCAAAGGGTTAATGTCGCATTTTATTTGAAACAAAAACGCATAACTTGGTGAATACCCTGTAAGATATCTAGAGCGAGTTTCTTAAAAAACATTTCTGTTTATTTTTTTATCGTTTTGGGAATCAGGAATTGGAATTTAAAATTCCATACACCGGCGATCCATACAACCACGGACAGTTTCCTAATTTCTTAATTCACATTTGTCCTTTTAATAGCTACATTTCTGCCTCAATATATTGCCAAATATGGCCTTAAGTAAGGTCTATAATATCGCATAAAATACATTAAAATATATGGAAATATATTTTATAAATATTATAATAAATAAATATATTCTTTTTAATTATATATATTATATTAATTAGAGTGCATATACATATTTTATATATTATATGAAATGAATTCTATAGTGTCCCATCAAAATATATCTCAATGTATATTTTTCGACAATTTCCATATAATGCAGGCTAATTCTTTGCATCAACTCAGATAAAAGTTTTGGGGCAAATACTTGTTCTATCTGTGGGTGTATGCCCCACTAAAGACAGTCGACGGCTGCAGGGTATAAAAACTTAGCTGATTTGACGTCGCACTCGAAAATCGCGCGCACTCTCTTGTCGCACATTCAAGTCAAAGTCACTACTGCCATGTCGGACCTAACTGACGGGGCCCTCATACCAATGCGAATGCCGGCGGTACAACTGAAAAAGTCAACCTGGTGGACGTGGACGTGGCACGACACAACGGCTCAAACGGAGCTCAAACGGCAAACGGCGAACGGCAACGACAACACGACATCATTTTGTACGTCACTCAAAATGTTCGTAGGCTGTCAGGGAGACAGTTCAAAAAATGAAATATATACATACACATTATAACAAATTCTAAAACGCAAAAGAGACACTCACTCATACAGACACATGGTCCGTCCGTCCGTTCGTCCGTCCGTCTGTCCGGCAGTCAGTCAGTCATTCATTCAGTCATTCAGTCAGTCAGTCAGTCAGTCAGTTAGTTAGTCAAGCTTCATTGTTCGTATGTGCATTCGATTGAAGGTGTAAGCGTACGGATCAGCCCCAGATCTCAAAGCCCAGGACAACCCCAACTCAGTCGACACACTGACTCTACAGAAAGAGGGTGCGAGGTCTCTCTGGAAGCGGCGGCACTCAAGTGGGCCCGTTCCCGTTCCTGGTGCTGGCAACGATGACACGGACACCGACACCGTCACAGACACGGACACGGACACGCTTGGCTGCCATATACATAAGTCCAAGTATTGTTGTCATTGCTGTTGCTGGCGGTGTTGCCGGTAGTGGTTGGGGGCAGCACATTTTGATTTCATTATTGATTCAATTACAACGTCAATGTTAAGGAGGCGCATTTGGTCGATGCCAGGATTGTCAAGTGAGGCGCTGCCAATCACATTTGCCCATCAGCATATCCCAACTGTCAATTTCCATTTTGCAATCGGCACCAGGCAACAAAAAAATGTTCGTATAACATTCGTAGCGCTTATGAGCTTTCATGATTCTCTACACGTTGACATGTGCCTTTTTAAAAAATATAATACACATCTGATAATACTGCTAATTGCTTTATACAATATTTGCATTGTTAAAAACGAATTTAAGCTGCTAACTGTCCAACTTTTAAAGCCAAACAAACTTGAGAAATGGCTAGACAAAAAAGTGTAGAAAAAAACTTGGATGAACTAGAGTATGCACGAACTTTAGATATCCACTATTTGGTCAAGAGTTAGTAAAATGTAAATGCTTCGAAATAACTCTTAAGGTTTAAAGCATAGAAAAGAGGCAGGACGAAAGAGTGGCGAATAAACATATGCATCGCCTGGAAGATACAAATATGAAAGCAATCATCAGTTCATATCTTACTGAACAGCGAGGATGCGAATTCGTATCCCTGACTTATGTAATTGCAGTGATTGTGGTATTCTCTTAATGTATAAGTCAATGTTGAATAAACCTAAATAAAGGTATATAGTACCTAACTATAATCCATATCCTAATTGATAATAATAATATAAAGCATAGATAGTTCCTAGCTATATCCCATTTCCTAATTATTAATAATAGCATTTTACTTGTTCATCCTTTTTACAGTAGTCACTCATCTTCCAACTCTCATGATATGTATCGCCAAATTATCTTCCTGACGGAGATGGCGATAAAATGCATGTTTGCAGGGTGTATTCGTGTAGACAGTACAATGCCCCGAAAACTGACAGAAAAAAACACCTAAATGGTACTGCTAATAAGCCGTTTAAATTTATTTTTTTTTTTTGGTGCTAATGACAATAATATTTGATTAGCTAGTTTAATTGGTTTTCTTTTTCCACTTTGTGTCAACTTTGCTGTCAACTTGGCAGCGATTTGGAAGTTGAATTCGGCTACGCGGGGAGCGTGCTTTGCTTGGGTATACACTTCTAAAGATATCTTACGTAAGCTCTGTTTTTTAATGACCGCATATCGATAATTATCTATCGATACCATTTAGTAGAGAAACGAAAATGTTTCACAAATTATCGCATATTTATTACATCAAATATTCTGTTAAAGATTATTTATGCGTCGACTTGATGTGCTCATAACTTTTGAATACGAATAGTTGTTGTCTGTCCCACTGAATGTCGTGGGATCTTGTGTTTGCACAGGCATTTAGCACATTTTTCGTATCGTATTAGAGAACACTCGGATTAAATTTTATGGTCGTTTATTATATTTTGTCATTTGATTTAAATTAACACCATTTCGTGGCATTCGTTTTGTGCCGAATTCCCATACACGACAGTACAATATCTGTTTTTAACAACAGAGCATCTGATTGTCATTGAAAATGGTTTTTGGTTTGATAAGTGTGTGTGTGTGTGTGTGTGTTGTGCTTGGGCAATCGATAATATTACTATTGATTATTTAAATAAATCGATAGAAGTCTGCCATACGACAATTTAAGCTACAACTACTTTGAGCTTTATATGTTGTCTTTTTGATGAAAGCCTGCTTGTGATCTTATCTAATAAGCTTTTATTCCATTCTTCTTTGCAGATGTTGATTTCGAAGCCTAATGCAGTTTACTCAATATGTAAGTATCGACTGCACCTCATTGATCTTAATGTTTGGCCGTAGATATATTTGTCCATCGGCTGATCTGGCCAAGCTGATGCACATTTATAGGACTTTTACATTTGGCGGTCGGACGGTCGGTCGGTCGGTCGGTCGTTCGGTCGGTTGGTCGGTCACTCATAGGCGTTTTGACAATGTTACAACAGACTAATTTTTATTGTGGCATCTTAAGCGGGCCAAGATGGCCAGAGATATTCGCCTCAGATACGGCAAACACAATAGAGTCACAAAGCTATTAAAAACTGATATAAATCTCATTAAATGCGATGGTTGTAGCACATGAACAAAGCCGCCGCCTTGCCTTCAATCAATCGTTTGTTTCGCTCCCGGCTACAAATAAGATATAAGAATGGGCTCTTGTGTTCGGTTCGGTTCAGTTTAGCTCAGTTCAGTTTAGTTCAGTTCAGTTCGGTTCAGTTCGTATCGTTTCGTTTCGTATTGCATCGTATCGTTCGCTTTTAAGTCTTCTTCACAAATGCCTTTTATATGGCAATGTGTTTACGAGTCTTTCTGTCCGTCTCTCTTATTGCCTGTCTGGGATGTCTGTCTTCAGGGCTTCGGTTTACCTGGCCAAGTGAGCGTATCCATAACTCATAAATTTGTCGTCAGGTTGGTGACGCCACGAAAGAGGCGTGAACGTTGGCGAAATAAAGGTTGATCGGGTATATTTGGCCAAAAAACTCTACTGCTGATCAATTATTTTTTCCATTAACAGTTCAGATAGTTATTGATTTCGGCTGATTTCGACTAGATCACCTGCTAATTTGGAAACTGTCGATAATATTCATGCCAATTAGAATTAGGAAAAAACTTATTAATCTCGAATAGATCGATATTACATCGATATTTCAATATGCAAACTATCGATATAGGCATTCAGCCATAAGAGTTCTGACTGTTCATATATTCTCCTCTATGGTAGAATATATCTGCATAAAGCCTTATCATGGATCGCTGACTTTCGATATGCAATACTTGAAACCATTTGCGTGGAATATTTGGGCACAGTGCCAAATTCACACCTTCTCTTCGTAACGAACTTGGCTCACGGTCAACCTTTGCCCTTCGCTATCTGCTGATCTGGTCGGTTAAGCATCTTGGTTCTTGATTCAATTACACAGTCGCAGCTCCAAATTGCGATCAGTGAGCCAGGGGTCTTACAAAGCTGTGAACAATACGGAGAATGCGAACTCCCGCTGTGCCCCCAAACATTCACATTCACTGATCGGGTCAGACATTGGAGATCGGGTACAAGTAGCGCCACAGTCGCAAAAGATGAATATGCATTTGTCGCCCAAAATGTGTCAGTGCCAACTCCGGTAGAGCTATGTCCATGCCCATGCCAGAACCCATACCCACAGCCATAGCCATAGCCATAGCCACAGCCACAGCCACAGCCATACCCATGTCCCTGTTCATGTCCATGTTTGTGTCCATGTCCTTCCATTGAGCACTCAACTGGATCCCAGCGTCTGTTGGCGCTCTGTCGTCGTTGCCTTTCCTTCCCACCTCTGGATATTGTTGTTATTGTTGTTGTTGCTGTTGTTGTGGTTGCGGTGTAGCTGTTGCTGTTGGCGGTGCAACAGCGGCGTCCGTCAACGATCCTAAAGCGATTTGCATATTAAAAACTTCTTTTTATTTTGTTGTATTTTTTTTTTTTTTTTTTTTTTGTATTTTTTGTTGAAATCACTTTGTTAAGCTTTGTTCGGCGGCAGTCGGAGGCGATCAGAGGCGTTCATAATCAAAACTGAAGTGATGCGGTGGTCACGCCGCTGGCGGCTCACCCGCCTTTGGCTTTGACTGTGCCACAGCGCATCTGCTTCTTCTACGTCAGTCGAGTCGGGAAGAGTTGGAGCGTTAGCTGCTGGCTTGACCAACATATTTTATAATATGCAGCAAGCCGTGTTGACACTTTTTATGTGTTTAATAAATTAAGTTTTACAAAATAGAAAGAATACGACACGCTGTCGCTTCTGGGATCCCTTGCTTAACTCGCACTCTCCCCCCCTCCCTCCGCCTTCCTACAGCCCACTGTGTATCTCACCGTCTCTAGCTGTTTGGGATCTTGGGACATTCGGTTCGTTTAATGGTTGACATTTGAAAATTTTGTTGGTCGACTTTAACACGCATTTATGGCTTCTGCTTTATGGCCTTCGAAATGCGTTAAATAAAATGCTCCTCAAAAAAAAATATATATATATATTTGTGTGCATACATATGTGTATGTGTAAAGCCAATAAAGATGATTGGTGTCTGGAATGGCTTCTTTTTTTTTTTTTTTGTATATCTCACAGCTAAGCCGCGTTGAAGATTTTTTTTTTTAATTTTGGTGGTCTCTGAAAATTATGAAATTTTTAATGAATTTCAATGGAACGTAAAGGTGCTTCATTAGAAGCTAGCAGGACACTTGGCATCGTCTAAATGGAAATAAATTATAAAAAAAAGGAATGTTGGCTGGGCATATTGATTCATGCTCTTAAGCTTAGTTGCAAAAATGTCACTGAATTTTAAATATGGTCAACGCCTGAGATAATTACTCAAATAATTCAATACAACAACAGATCAATGAGAAGCTGAGAACTCGTTTGGCAAGAGCTTCAAACGAAATACGCCAAACTGAATAAATCGACAGACTGACAGACAGACAGGTGAAATACAACGAAAAAAAAATGTATATATATATATATATGTGCATATCAAGCGAAAGCAATTAAAACTTGGTCAGACGTTCATCTCCTCTGGGTAAGTGGCAAGAGGCAAGAGTGTCAAGTAAACTGGGCTTCGAGCTTGCCGTAATCGAAATAAATGTCATTACAGCTACAACAGCAACAATAAAAAAACAACAACAAAAACAGTAACATTTATGAACAGGTGGCAATTAAAATACAATTTGTGCAGTATTTAAATAACTTGCCGAGATGACATATGTCATGCAAACTGCCCACAGACGACAAACAAAACAAGCAATTGTCGTAATAACAATACTATTGAAACAATACGAGTTTAAAGACAAATATATACATGAATATGTACATATGTATGCGTAAGAATTGTCAATAACAAAGTTATTTATTGAAAGTGACATTGTTCAGAGCATGAGTAAATGTTTCGCTATGACAACGACATACCAGAGCATAGTACACTAGAATGATGCTCTAAAAATCTACAGATCGGGTTTGGGCCCGAAATTCCGAACAGATTTGTAAAAAAATTATAGTTAAATTTTGCTTAAACATTAAATATTATTGCAACAATTTTTAGCTTCTAACAGCTTCGATAAGTAAAACAAGAGTTGAACTTAAGGGCGAGGGCGAGTGCTTCAAACCGTGGAACAAATATTTTCTTTGGGCTGGTAGCCTTGCTTTGCAGTTAAGCTAACTGCGTTGGAAAATATGCCATATTGAGATCGAAAGTTCTAAAGTTTTCTTCATAAATAAACATTTTAAAGGACTAAAAGAAAAAGCTATCATTTAAAATAGTTATCCATATAAAATCTTTAGACAAGATAAACAAGCTAAACTGTTCGATTATTTTAAGATCTATGTTATATATCTGATTATGCTCTGAAAGCGTTTAATATAGAGTATATGTGTTTAAGTATAGTGGAGTTGGCGTGGCTTAAAGCTAGACTCAAATTGTTCTCATGATAATTGGTGCATTCTTTGATAAAAGTAATTTCCATCCCGTATGCATTTTATAATTCCCAAACTGTTCAAGCGCACACCCAACACGAGCTGATAAATGCTGCTGGCCTCAAGTAATTATTGCTACTCTTCAGCGCTGTCTATGCTGACACATTTACAACAACATGTTGCTATAGAAGTAACACCATATGCCCCATAACATTCGATATACCTATTTAGGTAATATTAGGCACAATTTGTGCTCGCATCGTTTCTTAATGACCAGCTAATGCTGCTTACCATTTAGGAGAAGACCACGTTGCCATTGCCGAGGCCGAGGCCGAGGCCGATGACGATGCCGATCCCAATCATAATTTGCGTATCCAAGTCGCACATCAGCCAACGATCGCCAGTCGTCGTCGTCGTCGTCGTCGTCGTCGTCGTCGGCGTCGTCGCGATCGCGATCTCGATCACGAGCCAGTTCTGAGGCTAAGACTGTGGCTGGAACTGAGGCTGGTGCCATGGCGGTCTTTGGCTAGACATCGACATGGAGATCGGCTCTTGTGCGGCGCACAAGAATGTGACATGGGAATTTGAAGTGGAAGTGGCCATGGTCGACAGCACGAAGACCGTCAGCGTCTTCTTCTCGTATTGGCACTGGCACTCGCACTCGCACTCACACTCGTCTCTGTGTGTGTGTGTGTGTGTGTGTGTGAGTGTGTGTGTGTGTGTGTGTGTGTGTACACATTGTCATGTCACGCCGGCGCAGCTCTAGAGAGCAGCTCGTTGAGCCAAATGTCCACTCTGTGTGTCCAGTGACTGTCTGTGCGGCATCGTTACCATCGCTGTGCTTGCTCTCAAAAACCTGAAGTGTCCACTCAGAATTTGTCACATCATTATTCTTATTTTTCTTTTAAATAATCATATTTACACACACGCACACACACTCACACGCACACACGCCAAATACATGGCAGTTGGCCGTGGTGCGCCTGGGAGGTCTTTTGGCCACTTCGTTAGGCCTTTTCAGTGGAACTCCTTGAGCATCAGCAGTGGACAATGTTTCACATGGAGACAGCAACAGTGACAGCGACGTGTGCGTGTGGCGTGTACCCAGAAGGGGTAGATAGGTCAAACGTACAGGGGGGAGGGAGGGCCGAAGGGTGTGGTGCACAACATCGATGACAAGACACGAATTTATATGCTTATGAACCAGTGGAATATCGCTTAACTTTATTTATTTTAATTACAAAACTAGTGACAATAATTTATAAATTGTCAGTTAAACCCTTTAGTTATACCCTGTGCGCAATAAATAAGTTTAGTAGGGTATATTAAAGCAATGCAAATGCCATAATAAGTCAGCAACTTGCTTTAGGTATATGGGAATCTTTTTGAACAGCATCAAGCAAGGTCAAAGCTGTCGTGCCGTTTGGTCAAAGTTATATTTCAAAGTTATACCTCATTATAATTAACGGCCTCGATTTTATAATTGAAACAACACTCTTCCCCACAGAATGTTTTTCTCTCCAACCCTCATTTAATATTTCACTCCCATTGATTAAGATCGCCTTTCTATGCGATTTTCAATAGCTCAAACTTTCATAAATCTGATAGTATGTGCATACTTTTAATCAATTATATATTATATATATTTCCTGGCTACAAAACTAATCTTTTTTCGCTGTTTTTGTACTCTTTTCATTGCAGCATCAAACATTTCTGGAATATTTGAATAACCGACAACGAATCAATTAGGATCTGCAAGGGAAATATCTGTATCTAGTCTACCGTATTGTCACAACTATAAATAGATTAACAGTAGTTTGTAAGGCAGCCGCTCTTGATGAATATTGGGCAGGAAAAGCATACGCATTCGCAGTCGCACACACATCCGCATCCGCATCCGCATACACATCCGCAAACGCAGCAGCAGGCGACCAGCGGTAGCCGTAGTCGCAACACAGATCCGCACAGTGGTTCTGGTTCCGGTTCTGGTTCTGGTGCTGGTGCTGGTGCTGGTGCTGGCACTGGAGTCACTGCAACCGATTATCCAGCATTGCTACTGGGCTATCGCTATCCGCTGCCGCCCGGACATCATGATCATCGACTGCATATTGAGCACCTCAGGCGCTCCGCTGCGGAGCGTGTGAGGAGTCCCAACGGCTGTTCCATGGTTATGACACCCAGTCGACGCAGCTCGCCACCGTTGCCTCTGCCGCTGCCGACGCGTGGCCAATCCCAAACCCAGTCCCAGACCCAGTCCCAGTCCCATCCACAGTCGCAGTCCCATTCCCAGTCCCAGTCGCAGTGCATGAGCGCCCACTTTCTGCACTTGCAGTCGCAGCTGCATCAGAAGCTCTCCGCTAGCTACTTTCGCAACCCGCCCTCGCCTTCGCCAACGGAACGGGATCGCGACCGGGACAGGGAGAGGGAGCGCAACATCTCCGGCTCCGGCACATCGCCACCAGCGACGAGCATGAGCGCAGCGCATCTAAATCCGCTGAGCGATCTGCAGAATATGCAGCCCTTTGACTTTCGCAAAATCAACTCGTCCACGCTGGGCGCCTTCGGGGCGCCCCCCGGCCCCACAGACTTTGTGCACCATCAGCACCAGCAGGCCGTTCATCTGCAGCAGCAGGCGGTACAGCAGGCGGCGGTGCTGGCGCAGGCGCGACGTCGCATCAATGAAGCCACCACGCCCGGGGAGAAAAGCGCCGCGGTAGCAGCCGCTGCGGCAGCTGCTGCTGCTGCCGCCCAGAGTAATCAGTTCTTTAGCGCAATGGCCATGGCCGGGCATCCGCTGCCGTATCACTTGCCGCCACCGCCACCCCCACCGCCGCCACCGCAGCACCAGCAACAGCCGCAGCAGCACCAGCAGCAGCCGCAGCAGTCCAACAACAATCAGGTGTCGGCAGCAGAACATAGTCATGGCCATGGGCCGCACTCGCCAAATCATGCACAGATGAACCACAGTCACAGTCACGGTCACGGTCACGGTCACGGACACAGTCACAGCCAGTATCATCAGCACTCGCATTCACACCATCACAAAGTAACGCAGCCCACATCGCCGGAGGACACAAGCGCCAGCAAGGCGCGTCATCTGGCCGCCGCCGTTGCTGGCGACAAGTCGAACAGCAGCTGCTCCTCGTCCAGCGCTTCCGGCACGCAGCCGGCAAGCAGTTCACAGCGCATGACTCGGCTGGCTCTGGCTTCGGGTTCGGGCTCGGGCGCTAATTTGCGTGCGAGCCGCAAATCGGGCCACTCGCCGGGCAGCAAGCGGCAATGGGGCTCGATGCCAGCCAATTTGGGCACACAGTTCATCAATCCGGTGACCGGCAAAAAGCGCGTTCAGTGCAATGTTTGCCTGAAGACCTTCTGCGACAAGGGCGCGCTCAAGATCCATTTCTCAGCGGTGCATTTGCGCGAGATGCACAAGTGCACCGTCGATGGCTGCAGCATGATGTTCAGCTCGAGACGTTCGCGCAATCGGCACAGCGCCAATCCGAATCCGAAGCTCCATTCACCGCATTTGCGGCGCAAGATCTCGCCGCACGATGGACGCAGCGCTCAGCCGCATCCGCTGCTACTGCAGGCGCCCAATGGCATCATGGCGGGCCTGGGGCCGTTCGGTAGTTTCCCGTTGTTGACGCCGCCGCCGGATCTGCGCCATCATGCGCTGGGCGGCATGGAGCTGAAGCATGGCACCGGTCAGGAGTATTTGCAGCGATCCTATATGGACAACAATGGCATGCTCGGACGGTACGAGGGTCAGCGGCGCAAGGCGGCGCTCGAGGCGGGCGATGACGATGATGATGATGATGAGATACTCGAGGTGGGCATACACATGCCGGATGACGATGATGACGACGACGAGGCGGATGGCGATGGCGATGGTGATGGCGACGATGATGATGACGATCCCGATGGTGATGGCATTGTGGTTGTGGGCGATGAGCTGGACAGCATACCCGACAAGGACAAGCACAGCCACGATGATTACTTGCTGGACAACGGTAACGAAAGCGATGAGCGCTCCACATCCGCCATCTCCAGTCACAGCCACAGTCACAGCCTCAGTCACAATCACAGTCACAGTCATAGCCACAGTCACGGTCACAGTCACAGTCACAGCCAAACCAAAGAGCAACAACAGCCCAGCCCCTGTCCGAGCAAGACCGAGCCGGAGCCATGCCCGGAGCCCGATGAGCAACACGAGGATTCACAGAGCCTCACAGATTCAGCGCACGCACTCGGACAGACGCCGGCCAGCAAGCGAAAGCGCAAAAGCCAAAATCCTGTGCGCTGCACCGTGCAATCCGATGAGAATTCTTGCGACAATTCGCTAGATAACTATGACGTGGCCGCCGACCTGTCCATTAAGAAGATCAAGCTCAACGACGAAGCCGATACGGAGGCAGCGGATATAGATGCGCCTCGAAGAGCGCAACTGGGCGCCGCCACAGCCAAAGAAACCGAGGTGTTAACCAGCTCCACTGAGTCCACCAAGGCGATACCCTCGCCCCCGCTGACGCCCTACACAAGTGAGGCCAAGTCGCTGATTAAAATGGAGCTAGAGGAGGAGGAGGAGCAACAGCAGCAGCATCATCAGGAGCAAAGACAGGAGCAGAGGCAGGAGCGCGAGCTGCAGACAAATGTGCAGCAGCAGCTGGCAACATCAAGAAACACGAATAATCTACAAGATGAGGGCGCTGGCACCCTGGATCTATCGCTGAGCACGGCCAGCGGCTCGGTAATCAAGCAGGAGCCGCTGGACGAGCTGGCTCTCACATATGGAGCCGATGCGGATGAGAATCGCTATTTGCGCATCAAGCAGGAGCTGCTTGGTGAGGATGAACATATCTTTGGACGCGCAGCGGTCGAGGAGACCAGCACCAACAACAACAACGTTATTTTGACTGAAAATATGTCGGGTAAGGGTGGCGACTCCAATGGCAGCATCAAGGCGGAGCCAGAGCGCGAACCCGAGCCGGAGCCAGAACCAGAACCAGAACCGGAACCGGAACCGGAGCCGGAGGTGCCCATTGACAAGGAGAACCCATTGAAATGCACCGCCTGCGGCGACATCTTTCAGAATCACTTCCACCTAAAGACCCATTACCAAAGCGTCCATCTGAAGCTCCATCACAAATGCAACATAGACGGCTGCAATGCGGCGTTTCCATCGAAGCGCAGCCGCGACCGGCACAGCTCGAACCTCAACTTGCATCGCAAGCTGCTCTCCACCAGCGATGAGCACAATAATGTGCTGCTGCCACCGGATCCGCTGCTGGAGCTAATGAACATCAACAACAACAAGGTATTTGGCGGTGCTGGTGGCGTTGCTAGCGCTGGCGGCCCTGCTGGCGTGCCCGTTACCGCAGCTGGCGGCATGCCCAGCAGCATTCAGGCCGAGATTCTGGCACGCATCTGCGCTGGCGCCCACGGGCTGAGCATGCCATTATGCTTTGAGGCGCTGCAGCATCGCTTCGCTGCGGGCCATGGACATGGTCAGGTGACCGGCGGATTCGGTGCGGAAGCAAATGCGAATGCAAATGCCTTCATTGCGGCAACCGATCCGCGCCTGCTGCTCAACCATGCCGGCAATCCACTGCTCTTCCCCGGACTGCACAGACTACCGCGCTTCCACCACTTGACGCCGCACATGCTGGCAGGCGCCAGTGCGCTGAGCCCCTTCTGCAGGCGAACCTCTTCCGATTCAAATTCGCAGCACTCGATAACACCGCCGGTAGGCGCACGTGGAGGTTGCGATAGCAGCTCGCTAATGGGTTTGCGACCACGTTCCGGGTCCGGCTCCGGATCGCCCGAGTACGATGGCCAGTCGACGCATACGCATGCACACACACATATGCACAAGCAGACGGGTAGCGAGGAGGCGGGGCAGAGCCAGCGGCAGTCTCCAGATCGCATATCATGACCATGTACCTCGTGGTGGACAACAAATTCTTTAATGCAATATCAGGCTAAAACTTAGGACTACTACAGCATTGCTCATAATCATAATCGATAATAATCGATAAATCGGTAAACGACTTATCGATCGGAGGAGAAGATATCAGAAAATTCGCAATCCAAACTGCAGCTTGGCTCGCCAGCGCTCATTATAAACAATACTTTTACTAGGCTAATATAAAATATTAGATGGATCAACTAGCATTTTTTTTTTCTATATATACACACAGATATATATATATATATATATATATATATACATATATATAAATATAATAATGAAAACCCCCTAATTTTTTTTTTTTTGAACTTGTATTTATAAAAACTGTTGTTTTGTGTACAAGCATGAAATTGTAGAGAATTGAATAATAATAATACTTATTATAATGATAATGAAGAATGAATAATAAAAATTAAAATATATGATTAATAACGATATATATTGTTAGTGATACTCGATTATGTAAGCATAGCCTCTAAGCGCATACCGAACATAGATATGTGTGGGTGATGTCGTGTTTTTTTTTTTTTTTTTTTTTTTTTTTTTATAGATTGATTAGTACTGCGACCCCAGAAAACCCCAAGTGTATTGTATGATAACCATAAAAACATGAACGAGTCAACGATAAAATGCTTTCAATGGGGAAAACAAAACTGATTACCATTTACTTAATCGATATATATGATCTTTCTATGTAGATTAACAGACGGTTTTTTTTTTTGTTGTCTTCTTTTACGAGAATCCTAGAGTATCATATAGTGGGATAGTTCTGAAGCAGTAACCAGGCAAATACCTTCAACTCATATTTAAGCTATATATGTTTGCAATAAAATATCATGAAAAATATAAAACATAACAATGATTTTTTTCTATTTGGGCAAATGGGTGAAGTAAAGGTGTTTACCTAAAAAGGCTCAGAGATGCATGTAGATCGTTCCAACTCAATAACTTCAAACTGGAGATAATAACGACCTGGGATACGAACAGCCTTGTTAGGCAGATCCAGAATAATTGTCTTCAATTATAGCCTCTAGCCTTAGTTTGAGTCAAAAAAAAAAAAAACACTATTAAAGGTTTTTTTGTTAGCATTTATGGTTGAACAAGTTGCGAAATCAAGCAGATTCCTGGTTCGAATCCCTGTACATAGGGCTACTAACTAATTCAATGTCTTAGCGAAAGACGATGTGGTATATAAGTTGTGTGGAAGTGTCTAATTATTATATGCATTTATATCGCTAATTATTATTATTTTATCGCTCGTCAAGTCGAATAGAACTAGTTCAGTTACTTATGCTACTTTTAGATAATTTATTACTTAATTTTAGAAGCAATTCTTATCACGTGAGGCATTTTTACCCAAATTATGAAATGCAAACGGCAAGCAAACAAAGTTTAATTTTGCCATCCAATCTAGAAAGCCATGAACCCAATTTATAGAAAAATAAATATATTATCTATATTTCAGAAATGTAATATTTTTCAAAACTTATTTGAAGTAATTTTTTCTAAAATTTAGAATAATATTTCTGATATTAAAACATGTTTTCTAATTATAAGGGCAATTTCCAACATAGACCAATTTCTAACTCTAGGGAAGTAAGAAATCCAAAGGATATATTTTTGATAGAGCTGTGAAAGCGCTTTATTGCAAACAGATACGCAGCGAGAGAAACTTTGAATGTGTACTGGAAAGTCGTAAAACTCCATACATAAAATGTGTTTTTTTTATTAATTATTATTTATTGTCTATAGAAATTCAAAATGTGCTGTAGTTGAAATTAGTATAAAATAAGTGCAGGCTTTGGCATAGATGAGAGTTCCAGTCCAGGGACTTAAAAGCATGCATGTAAGTTTGGGAGGGGGAGACGATTTGTACTGTATTGGGATGCCATTGGTAAAATGCAAAATTGTAGTTAGGAACATTTTAGGGGGTTGCTATGCATGCGATTTTAATTTTAGATCGATTAAAATGGCTCGTAAATTTAGCTGCCTCCGCGGGGGCGTCAGAGTGTCCAAATAAATAAATGCATCGAATGGGTTGTACTCACATGTACTCGGTAGCCCACACACACACACTCACACACACAAACACACACTCGCACACATATGTGGGTAGTTACCGGGTGTATCTATAGATACACATATGCACATACTACAAATAAGTATCTCTGCTGGATGGCAATGTGGCTTGTGGTTGTCCATGTCACCCCTGGGTCGGTGTCAGTGTCGGTGGCGGTGGCGGTGGCGACGCCATTGCCAATGCAATGGCCTCCCTTAGGAGAAAATAATAGAGGTTCGGTGTACGAGTAGTGCAATTTATTTAAAGTAACATTTTAGTGTTTCCTTCCGCTGAAATTCGTTCTCTTCCTTCCTGTTGGCAAGTCTCTCTGGCCGCGGCCAGAGCCTGCAGTTGCTGGCTACGTATTCGCACTCGAGGAATAACAACAGATTGTGGGCAAATAAAATTGCCACAATGTTATCGTTAAGCCAGCAGGACATGCAGAAACAACAAAAAACAATAGCACCAGCAGCAGCAACAACAACAACAACAACAACAACAGCAACGGGGTGTCCGTATCCACGCGGCACGTTCATATCCGCGTCCCTACCGCTTACATACCCTTACATTAAGCTTACATATGTACACATGCATGCATACATATGCCACCATATGGCATCACACACACAGTAATGCATGTAAGTATATACTGTAGTTGGTATTTCTGACTGCATTCCATTTGCTACTTTATTCCGATTCGTATGAAGAGGCATATATGTATATATATATATATATATATATATATATATATATACATATATATATATATGGGTTTGTGCCCGTTGCAATTACACACATGCAAATAGGCGACAGTTACCCCACGCATACGAACACACTCACATTCGCACCTGTAAACACACACACGCACATGCTTGCAACAAAGAGATATGACATTATATTGCATGGATAATCTTGTTCTAGATGCAATTTTGACTTTTGTTTACAGCCCGCTTTATGGAGCAATGTAATTCTGCATTTTTGTGCCCAAAGCAGCCACATTTACACACATGCAAAGACACACACACACACACACACACACACACACACACACACTGAACAACTAATGAGCGTGTTTGGCATTTTATGGGTCTCGTCGCAACGCTTTTAAGACAAACAATAAAAAAGAAACGCACAAGCAATAGGGTTGTTTAACTCTGAGATACCCTGGATAACATTTGGCGAATATAGTTCAGCTAATACAAATATTAAAAAGAAACTCAGATCATGCTTCTGACTCAAAAATATGTATTTGTTTATTTATATTTATTTATTTAAATTTATTATTTATTTATTTAAATATTTAAGTATTTTATTTATTTATACATTCGATTATTTATTTTATTTTATTTTTTCTTATTAGTTTTTTCATTTATTTATTTATATCTTTGTTAATATGGTTTTTTGACTTAGTTGGGTCTAAAAACGCCTAGCCTTATTTTTGCTTTTATAGCTTGAACCAAATCTCCACTGAATGTCTTTCTACTTTTATTGCTATTATTTTACTGTATTATTATTATTCTGTTCTCCATCATATTTTTCTGAACCCGTTTTTACATTACAGATCTTTCTGGTAAAATACATTTAATTTTTTGGTTTCCAAAAAAACGTAGGACTCATAAAAATGATCATTACTAAAGAAAATCGCAAAATGCCAAATTGGTTGGAATATAATTTAAGGCAAATTTTAATTTTTAATAAAATGTTTTTCATTATTATTAAATACAACACAACATATTTTTGCAAATTTGATGTAGATTGTATAAAATATATTCATATGCTCATATTAATAGTAACTAATATGCAAATATGAAGATATTTTTGCAAGATTAATATAGTTTGCACTTAAAATTTCTTTTTTATATACAGTAACATATCTTTTAAGCATTTATATTTTAATGATAAGCTGTCAATAATCATACATTTAAGGAAATGCTTAAAAGGATTCAGAGAATTTTAGTTTCATAGAATATAATTCAGAATTTCTTATGTGGTTTTTGAGCGCTTTCACTAGTAAACTATTACAGGGTATTTATAAGTAGACACATTCGCTAGCCCCTCCCTACCTCTCTCTCACTCTCTGTATGTGTGTGTGTGTGTGTGTCGGGACATGTACAACTACAGAATGTATTACATAATTTTAGCAGTGCACACAGACAATTGCCGAGGCAAGTAGACAGGTAAATATCAGTCAGTATATACCACATGCATGTACATATGTACATGTATGTATGCATGCATGTGACTTGCACACACATATACACTGCTCATGTGCTGTTATATAGACACCTTGGATGCCACGGATAATGCAGTCTAGGTCTAGCCCCTAACGTGCAATTGTTAAATTTGGTCTGCCCGTGGCAGTGGGTGGAAATGTGGTCTCGGTCTGGGGGTCTGGGGGTGTGGGGTCTTGGGTCTGGGTGTGGTACTGGTACTAGTACTGGGTTTTTGGTCTGTTTACGGTTCCGGGACCGTATTTCGCACAGATGTGGTGGCCAAAAACTGATAATGTACTCCTGCCAACTGCAACTAATTTGTTAGCGAGGACCTTGCAGTCAGTCAGGCGTTGAATCACATCGTAAATATCACATACATATGATAGCATATACATGCATAAAAAAGTACACATTTTCCAGCAATTACTATAAAAATATGTGTAAAATAAAGACAAAAATGCATAGCTCACAATAGAGAAGAAACTTAACGCATATGCCTAACATATCTTCAGTATTGATTTCAGAATATATTCATAAAGAAAGTACACATTTTTGGGTATCATGCTATTAAAAATCAATGTGCAGTCCTTGATAGATGAGAGGACTGAGTTGGTTGAGTCAATTAGACAACTAAGAAGCAAGGAACCGGAAACTGAGCGTACATATGAATTTTCAAATGTCTTATAAGAAGGTCAAGGTAGCCTGCACTATCTAAGAGTAATAGTACTATGATAATAAAAGTATAAATAATAATACTAATGATAATTAAAATAATAATGAGAATAAAGATAACAAGAGACATAGAGAAATTAATAAATTAAATTTAAAGCTAAACATGTCTAGCTTTTAATTCTAAAAACGTATCGAATTATAGGAAATTTAAACAGTGCCCAATGGAAATGCTAAGTACAGGAGTCGACAGATCACAGAGGATGAGAACCGCGAACATTTACAAATATTTCGTGATTTGATAGACTGAATGCGAGGCAGGCAGGCAGACAGGCGGGCAGACATTTGGATGGGCCGAAGGGTTATGGTTATTGAGGATCCTGGAAGGGTCGAGGATCGAATGTTGGAGTTGAGCAGGCAGGTAGAATTAATCCAATTTAAAAAGCGCTCAGCTAATCCAAAAACTGTTCGCAAATTCGTTGACTAAGTAGCTGTGTATGTACTTCGACTGGGATCAATGAATGAATCCCATGGCTTTGGCTTTCATTGATCTGCATTTTATAAAGCCCGATATTTGGCCCAGTAACGATTAGAAGGGCGGCTGGCAAATATCAGCATTAGCCAACAGCTAATCTGTGGCGCAGGATATAGACGTAATCCCACAGCTTGCACACATTTACTGCGTATTCCCGGTACACTAGATGCTCAATAAATAGCCCACGCCACATTGCTGTCTATCACAGTCAATTGAGAACATTTACGGTCGACACACGCTTTGCAGAGCAACGTAGAGAATATTAACCGAATTCGAGCTATATTCAATGGAAACTGCGCCAGTGTTCCAGTCTAGCTTCTCCATACGCTCTCTGCTCTCCAGCACGCACCTGGAGGAGGAGGAGGGCAAAGGTGGGGAGGCGCACAAATATTATATGAGCTCCAGTCCAAGCGATTCCTGCAACAGCTCCGAGGATGCATCATCCGAGGACGGCAACACCACTTCCCCCACAGCCATCAGCAGCAGCGGCAGCAGCAGCGGGGGTAGCATCAGGTCGGATGTGAAGCCCGCCTTCACGTACAGCGCCCTAATCGTAATGGCCATACGCCGGAGCCCGGAGAAGCGTTTGACGCTGAGCGGCATCTGCAAGTGGATAGCCGATAATTTTGCCTACTATCAGAATCACAAGAGCGTCTGGCAGAACTCCATACGCCACAATCTGAGTCTCAATCCGTGCTTTGTGCGCGTGCCGCGTGCCTTGGACGATCCCGGACGTGGTCACTACTGGGCATTGGATCCGTATGCCGAAGATCTGACCATTGGCGAGACAACCGGCCGTTTGCGGCGAAGCAACAACGCGCTACTCAGTCGCTCTAAGGCAGCGGTTGCTCTGCAAGGTCACGGCAAGAGCCACGGCTATGCGCATCCTTATCAGCAACTGGCCAGCAATCCGAACGCCGCCGCCGCCGCTGCTGCTGCTGCTGTGATGTATGCGCAGCTCTTCAAGCCGCACGCTGCCTACTTCCCCATAATGCCGGATGCAGCTCACCACTCGGCACAGCCGCAGCAGCATCCAATCATGATGCAGGGCAACCAACATGCGAATGGCACTGGCTCAGGCGCCGGGCTAGGCATAGGCATGGGCACGGGCTCGGGCATGAACACGGGCATGGGCACTTTGGCTATGACAACGGGCCCGGCACTGCGATACCAGCATCAGCATCAGCAACAGGGGACCTTATCGGCGCCTTACCATCAGACTCAAACTCAGTCTCAGTCTCAACAACGGCATGGCAACAACCACAACAATTACTACCAGCGACATCAGCCACACCAGCAGCAACACCAACATCAACACCAACACCATCATCATTATCAACACCAACACAATTATTATCTACAACAACAAACACAGCAACAACAGCAACAACAACAACAACAACAGGAACAATACGCATCAGGTTATAATGGCCAATGGATGCGACAGCCAATTGAATGTTTGTGGCGTTAATTTTAAAGTTATCCGAATTATTTCAATGACTCGAATTATTTATAATTTAATGTGGGGTGTGTATGTATGTGTGTGTTTGTAGTTCTAAGAATCTTCGTTTTTGCCCTTCTTTGATTGACACCAAGCATCAAGTTACCTTTTTTGGCGTAGAACGCGGTTAAGTTACACTTCGATTAAGCAACATTTTTAATCTCTTTCCACTTTGTGTAATTCGATTCAAATACCCAAACATAATATTAATTCATAATTAAAGTTACATTTGATAAAGCTAATATAATCAGGAATAGATATACATTTAGTTGTTAAGGATTTATACATTTATGTATAAGTACAGCACTGCAAATAGTTGTATAAGAGTCCAAATATCAAATAAATAAAGCAATTTATTGTCATAGACAACAGTTCGCATTATTATATTTATTTCACTATCTTCTGATTTTAGGGACCCCGCTACAGAGTCCCGTCAATTAGATTTCATCCATAAACAAAGAGTAAAGAGCTTTCGTTATTTAAAGGACTTCTTCGTCACAAATTTAATGCAGAATTGGAAGATTTGATTAGTCGCGCAATTGGAAATATGCTTTTTCTTGCTTTAGTATACATTATTATATATATTCTCTGCGGATTATAAAGACAATGCGAATGGATCGATCAACTTTTTTCACTAATTAAGGATTACGAATCAAAGTTAAACTCTCGAACAGAGTCTGAGATTGGGGCCATTTGGACATTATTGGTACAAATTAGGTGGCCCGAAAAGAAGACCTACGTCCATTGGTTCTTCAGAAAGAATATTTGAATGCTTTATTCAACAGAAGAGCCATTGTAAATAAGGTTTATTATTATTGCAAACCAACCAAGTAAAAGATTGTAGTCGGGAGCTCCCGACTAGGGGATACCCTGAAACCTCTTCTTCCAACATTAAATGCATACATATATTCTATTTTAGAAGCTATATGTCAAGTTTGGTGAGTCTAGCTCTTATTATTTACCAAAATTGGCCATAAAACAAGAAATCGGAGAAAGTTAACGATTATCGGAAACAAACTCGATCTGCGCAGGCACTAGGAGCACCTACATCTAGCCTTAGCTCTTGTAGGTTCTGAGATCCTTGCATTCATACATACGGACGGACGGACGGACGGACGGACAGACGGACAGACAGACAGACGGACATGGCTAGATCGACTTAGCCATTGGTGCTGATCAAGAATATATATACTTTATGAGGTCGGAGATGTTTCCTACTGCCTGTTACATACATTTGGATTTTGCACAAATACAATATACGCTTATACCCATTTTTAATGGGTTCAGGGTATAAAAATGATTGCTATGATACTGGCAGCTTCTTCATTTGGAGAACTGGCACATTTGTTTCCTGCTTGAATTGGACTGCAGTGAGCATATTTGGAAGCTGTCAGAAATTATAAATAATATTTAGTACTATTGCAAACCTTAAATCGATTACAATGGAACTAAAACAAATGATTCATTTTCTTGCAGCTTGAATTAGGTATTCAGCGAGCATATTTGGCAAAGAGAATAATATTTATTTCAATGCAATTCTAGAGACGATTAAACAGAAAGGTTCATAAAACAGTTTACTGGCATTTTTTTTTTTTTCGTTTTTGTTTAGCCTGTTGCTCAAACTAGGCAGCTTAAAATTTGTATTACACTAACAATTACAAAAATTATATGATTAAAGAATACATTACAAGCTATCAAGTTTTAACTTCTAAGGCCACAGACTAGCCTAGGACACGAACCAGCCTCCTTTTTTAATAACTAATTACTAGACCATACTAAACTCATGGGCAAGCTATGATTTCTACATTTCAACCTTTTCCCAAGATAGTAACTACTAGCAAAAAGTCTACCTCCATTCAGCTTAGTTAATGCGATCGCGTAGAAGACGAGTTATTTGAAAGCTTAGCTTCAATTCGACTTAAAATATTAAAATAAGCTCAATTATACTGAGCTGGATTGTGCTGCTGTTTGGGGCCAGTTCTGTTTTGCTGTTTGTGTTGTGTTATGCATAATTATGACCAATTCGTGGACTAAGCTTGGCTTTTATGATTTAGCATTGCCGCTTAGCTACACCTGTCGCATGAGGCCGAGCGAAAGGCATGCAGTGTCATCATCGTCATTATCATTATCATCATCGTCGTCGTGTATGGATATGCTCATCATGATGATCATTATTATTATTATTATTATCAACAACATCATAGAGCATCATCATGTGGCTGCCGGCTGGCTTAACTTTGGCTCGTAACTTAATGCTAGCGGTCAATAGCATTACGCCAGCAACAGCAACAACAACAAATGGCTTATGAAAAGAGCTAATCTGATAATACAGAATTGAAAGGGGCGGTCACGGCACGAATTTTGCTACACGCTCTTGATACTATGGGCAGCAGCTTAGGCCAAAACCTGGCACTCGAATCGCCGACGTAGACGGAGACAGTGGCTAACTCTGGGCCTGGACCTCAACCTCAGCCTCAGCCTCAGCCTGAGCCTGAGCCTGAGCCTGAAGCCGATGCGACGATTGACGATGGCGATGCCAACGACGACATCAACTGCAGCACCACCATATTGGTATAGTGCACCGCAGTGCAGCGCACATGCGAGCATAAAACAGAAGGGATCGATGATCGGACAGCGAAATTGCATTTGTCTGCGGCTGCAGCTGGAATTGGGAGTTGGTGCCTCGTACTTATTATTGCCAAGATACATATACATATAAATATATATATATGTATTTATATATATCTATATATATATATATATATAGCCAGGTACACGGCCCCATAACGATATCGAGTAAAGTGCACAGTGCACACTGTGTACAATGTTCGAGCATGCATAATGACGAGAAGCTGTTTGCCGAATGCAGCATGCTGCATGCTGCATGCTGCAAGCTTCCAGTTGCTTGTTGAGGCTGCTGCTGCTGCTGCTGCTGCTGCTGCTCGTAATCTGTTGCAGATTGGCGTCTGAGCAACAGATGTCAATAATTCAGTACCAATAGCGTACCAGGCCGTCTCTCTATATTTATGTGCTATGCGTACTATGTGCCACTTTGGAACGCTTTAATTTCCTTCCTTCCTAACTGGCTTTCTTCCTTATATTATTTTTTATACTTTTCTTGATTGCTTCTCTCTGCTGTTAGAGACTTGCCACAGTTCTTGCACAAAGGAAGAGATTAACGAAAAATACAAAAAAGGCAGAAAATAAAAATAAAAAAAAAAAAAAAGAAAACACAAAATCTGCTCAAACTCAATTATAAAAATTTCAACCCAATCTCAATTCTTGCGAAACTGCTGTTTGTGAAGTTTTTATTATTGCCGTTCTGGCTTTACTTCTTCTGATCCCGATTTCAGAACCCTTATGGCTATGTGTGTGAGTGTGTGTGTGTATGTGTTGTCTTGTGGTCATTCGTCATTTTAAGTTTGTACACACACACACACATGCGCACACCTTGACCCGCTTCCCGTACCCCAGAGTCGACAGACAGTCCCTATTCCATTGACACTGATATGTGTGGCAAGGTATGTCTTTTGAAATGACAATCTGCAATTTGCTATTCGAAACCGTTTAAAGTAATTTATTTTTTCCCTTCCGAGGACGCGATCCGCGTCGCCGCTGACGCGACTTGTTTTCCATACACATATAAAAAAAATATAAATACATATAAATATATACATATATATATATATACATACATATATTTATATATATAAATATATATATATGCAAAATATATATATTGGTACACTTTGAAAAATAAATTTGTTCTATTATTCAATCCAGTTTTATTTTATTTGGCATAAATTATCATCGATTTCGAAATATTGAATCGAAGATAGAATCTTTCACAACTGAATCTCTAGGGAAGAAAATTCTGTCTGGCAACAATCGATCGCAAATTAATTTTTTTAATCATATATTTTGTCATACTGTTTTATCACCTGAAAAATATTTTGAACAAAATAAGATCTTTATCTTTTCTTTGGTTTTAACATTTAACATTAAAAATTGCTCATTTCATGTTGTTCAGATATTTAAAGTTTTAAACAAACTGATATATTCCAATAACTAAATATTAAAGCAAAAAGCTAATCATGTCGATGATTATGCGTGCCAAGCGCAAAACATTTTGATTGTGATTTGATATAACTCAAATAGAAGTTCAAAATAAACTTTATCAAAAAAATATATATATCTAAAACCCAATCAAGTCAAATATCCGTACTCAATACAAGATCCAAACAATTTTGATGTGCAAATATAGTAAAGAAAAATATCTTTGCTCACGTATAATAAATAAATTACAAAAAATGGTGTTCTACATTAATAAAAAAAAAAGGAATACTTCTTAAAACCAGAGGATTTGAAATTTTCTCTGAGTGTAGCTGTCTTCAACTTCGATGCTGTAGAATGTCCTCTACTGCCCGGCAATAAGCGCTGCACGAGCGGCCGGATGTCTGCCCAGATTTAGCCCTCTATGCCAGTCCCTCTCATTAATATAGACACACACATATATATATGTATATATATGTATGCTGGCACATACAATTATTGAAAACAAAACAAAAAAAAAAAAGTGGTGGTGTACTGCATAAAACAATTCCCAATAGAAGTCAAAGACAACCCCAACTCCAGCTTGGGGCACACAATGATGCATTGGCCCGAAGCGCTGTTCGATATTCGGGGACAAATGATGGAAACGAGCAGAAAAATGACACTGGCAAATTTGTTTGCGCTGATTAAGGGCATCGTAAGGCCATTTAATTAATGGTATCTGTATGCCTTGAACATAACTCAAAGCCTCAACTGACTCGATAATCAATGGCCGGACTATGCTCTCGTGTATGCTGAATATGTTGTGTGTACCTCCAGCTAATAAACAAAATCAGAAACATTTCGTTATGGTAAATTGAGTTCGTGAATATTTTATGCAGCCGAGCAATAGAATAGTTTACGCCCGAAATCAAAATCTGAGTCCAAGCAAGAGCCCAAAAACCAAATCCACAGCACCACTGACCGCTCTAGTGGGCCGTCTTGACGGCGTGATTGAATGGCCAGTAATACAATGGATGCACACACACACAAACACACACACACACACACACAAAACCATACACAGACGCACATACACGTGTGTGTAACCATATGTCAACCCTTTTATTGTGGGTTGTCATTTCCGTCGGGGTCAGTGCGAGCCTTGGCCCATGTCCTGCCGGCACATAAATAATGCAGCCAATTAAGGGTACGTACATGTCACACATTACATCATGTTATGCATGCGAGTACGTATGATACGGGATGCTGGGACCAGGTATCCTTCTCAACAAGGACATGCACAGACAGCAGCAGACAGGAGACAGCAGGTTCATGCATAGGCATATGACTATCGCTGGGCGAAATCCTTATAAGTAGTTTTCCTTATATATAATCTGTGGTTTCTGATTTACACTCGCGCTCTCGCTCTACACAGCAAATAATCAACTTTAACCAGCCTAACTTTGTACCTATGCCTGCAATTAGACTTGGGCATTCGCTTATTTACTTCAAGATAGTTCTTGAACAGCTTTTATGCTGCTGAACCCCTTTTGACCAGTTATGTGGTTTAGTATTTTTGTAAATAAAGATATATCATGTTTTTGTAAGTGTTTTAAAGGTTTACGTTTTAGATTTTTGAAGATCAACGCTGAGGTGCTGAGGCACATACTCATTCTTATTTATAAATAAAAATATGTAAGGTTAATTAAACATGAACTTACCCAAATGTATATAGTATATATCTATACTATAGATAGAAGTTTAAAAGACTTTATAGGACATCACTAAAAAAGAAAAGAAAAGAGCAAATTAAAGTTAACGAATTATAGAGAAATATAAATGTAATTAGAGGTAGAGAAAGGCAGAGATGCATACAAGGAGAGGGAAGGAAAGAGAGATGGAGATAAAGAGGGAAAGGTTGAGAGAGAGAAAGCGAGAGAGAGAGGGAGAGAACTTGCGAGAAAGAGTGGAAGAGAGCAACTGCAAGAGAAAGATAGAGAAAAAGAGAGAGAGAGTGCAAGCTTAATATTATGTTAGTGTTACCTGAATTAATGAGAATCACATAGAAAGGTGATGTGATAAGAAACAGCCAAGTTGCATGCAACTGTTTATCGCACATTTTCCGAACATAGGGATAGATTTTCAAAATTCGTTGACCCATTTAAATTAATTTGTATATAGAGATTTCAAAATAAGTTTTAAGTTGCTTGAACGAAGAGATTTATATAACACTTCAAAATGTGCCCAAAATCCGGTCTGCTTTTACATCACATAAGCTAACTACTGTAAAAAATCAGAGTCCTAGCTTTTGGAGCTTGGGCAGTCGTTGCATGGCGACTTTTCGTAAATTTTGTGACATGTGCTGACCCAGTTGTTGACTGGTTGGATGACAAATTGGCTTATGGAAAAGTGATAGTGTCACAGTTTAAAGTTGCGAGGGCTGAAGTTTAATTTGCAGCTCACATTCACAAGTTGTCCCAATGATTGACAAATCACATTTGTCTTGGACATGGCATTCGCAGCGTGAATTTGAAGCACAAGGTGGAACTGGTTAAGTTTAAATAAACTGCAATTAAGTCAGAGCTGAGCTTAAGAATTCAACACGTTACGAGTACTCGCATAAAGTGTAACCATAAATGGGATTAACTACCCTCAAGGTAATGTCATCACGCTTACTTTCGACTCACTTTCCCTGTGACAATTTCACGCAGCTCTGGACACACTTGGCCAAGCAGTGGATGAGGTCCCCCTGCAAAGTCTGACGGACGTTTTCTACTCAAGTCCTTCAAGAACTTCATTTGATTGCTCTTTGCCATTGTGGCTAACATTTTTTTCAAAATGTTTATTATTATTGTTAACGTTGCCCTTGTTACGATCGCTGGCGCCGCCTTCGCCCGACAAACATGCATCCAGCAGATATTTGCCCAAAGAAATATGCAAAAGCAATCTTTTTAACTACACTTCTTGGCGCATTTGACCATTTCTGGCGCTGCATGTTCCTTGGCCAAGTCGCTGGCAATCTTTTAACTACCTGTAGCTGAGCTCTGGATGTGCGGCTTATTGCCTGCACGGCTTTCGATTTCTTTGGCGCATTATTTCTTAGCCAAACTCAGCTATGTCAGACGAGTCTAAGCTTAAGAAGACAAAACTTCATTTTTCATTAGCATTCTTCACAGTTTTCATTTGTCCTTCATGGTTACTTTAGTTAATCATGTTGCCAACACTTTTCTTCACAAGTGTGTCCTTAATGTCACTTTACTTTTCACTGAGTGCATCTAAATAATATTTTCAACTGTTTTGCTAATACTCAAGTACACAGAAGGATTTTTCACGCTGAATCCAGCGTTCTCCAAGGTCACTTTTATCGCAGCGAACGCGTTCTCCTACATGGTTTCAATAGTTTTCGTAAGATACATGTCCTCCATGTGCTCATTTTAATCTCTCTGCTTACAATATCATGAATACGATATTATCTCAAATAATATTTTCGAGTGTTTGCTTAAAATTTGCATCATCAATGGTCACTTCAATTGAATCCAATGTGCCATCCATGTTCACTTAATAGCTTACTGAGCAAGGCTTTTAGAAGTTTAGATCTTGTAGATCTTACTTGTATCCTCCATGGTTACTTTGGTCACCAGCTCTAACAACATATATCCATGTTCAGTTTATAGCCTTGAAGAAGTTTAGATCTTATCAGTACACTCTTACCTCCGCGGTTACTTTAGCCACCAACTCTCTCCATGTTCAGTTTATAGCGGAGCAATCCTTCAAGAAGTTTAAAACTCATCAATACACTTATGTCCTCCATGGTTACTTTTAGCATTAACTCTTTCAGCATATATCCATCGTATGCTCGCAGCAGTTGCTTAAATGCTAATGGATATAAACTAGTTGTGTTCTCTATTATTTTCATGCTTATTAATTGCGACAATTACAAGTCGATTTGTTGTCCAAGGTGTCATATGACGACGAGGCTGGCCGGTTCCGGCTTCGGCAGTTTGGCTGTTCGGCTGTTCGACCAGGCGCAACTTATAGTTAGTCTGTAAAAAAAAAAAATGCATGTAGCTAATTAACAATAATTAATAATGCAATAGCTTCAAGCAAACACACACACGGACACACGGACACACACATGAGCATAAAGTGTATAAGCCACGTCCAATTCAGGTTGTCTCGTTGTTGTCTTGTTGTCTCGTTGTTTTGTTGTCTCATTGTGTCTTTGTCGCTGTCGTTGTCGTTGTCGTCGTCCTTGTTGTTGCGTTGCCCTGCTGCAAGTTGACTAGCCGCTCTTCTTGAATTGCGTGTAAGGGGCACATTTTGCCAACATGCGTGAATAAATAAAAGTTTCTAAAGGGATTGTCACCCATGCCACTAAAAACAAAATCCGCCTGTCATATATATCACTCCACAGAGGGGGCCCCAGTCAGCCAGGCAGCCGAACTGCCAAAATGGACTGGGCGGCCGGTGGCCGACCGGAGCCGTAGCTGGAGCTGGAGCTGGAGCTGGAGCCCCGGACGTAACCGGCCCATAAAATATGACAAACTTAACAACGGCACGGACTGGATAACTGCAAAGACAACACCAACAACACCACCACCAACAACAACAACAACAACAACAACAACAGCAGCAGCAAAAGAACTGTCGGCATTGGCAGAGCCATGGTAAAAGGTACCCACAATGGACACCCACTTCGCAGCTGTCAATCGTCTAAATCGTTATGGGCACTTGTCGGTAAAGAGAAAATAAAAAAAAAAAAATGAGTGAAAAAAAAAAACAAAATGAAAAACAAAATTATATATGCAACCATAAAATGCCACAAAGTCAGTTTTTAAATTATTAACGACAACAAAAATGTTGTGACCGTCGATGTCGACGACATGTGATATGAAGCATGGCATGGCAAGATAATGACGTTAATATCGATACCCGATACCCCACACCCGATATCCGATAGCCGATACCCAATAGCCGGCGGCATATATCGTTGAAATACTAATTAGCTGGTACTGCGCTGGGCATTAATCGATTTGAAATGCTTTGTGATCCACTGTGATTATAATTTATAATTGACTTCCGGCAAATAAATGGTGACCAAAGTACTTGAGCCCCATTATTGCCAGCCTGTCGTCACATTCATTTAAACGTTATGAGCGAAACACTGCGGCGAATCAAATGACCCGATGTGTCCTCGGCAGTTCATTCAGTATTGCCTTTGCATTTAGCCAGGCCTAAAGACTTGCCAAATGCGCTACAGCACGCAGGACACAAAAAGCTCTACACTCGTCTGTGGCATGCTTTATAATATCGCCTGATTTAATGCGACAAGCTACAGAGTATTTGGAAAAGTTAAGTAAAGTAAAGTAAAAATTAGCATTAGGTGCAGTTCACCGATTACTGGACTCGATTGATAATTTATAGATCAAAACCATAGAAGGTCTCTAAGGAAAAGAATCATTTGAAGGAATGGAAGGAATTTACAAGGCATATAGCAAAAAACTACTGAAAATCTCATAGAATAATATTGATTTAAAGCAAAGGCGACAAAATTGAATTTCACTATAAGTTATAATCGTTAGTTGCTTAGTCATAGTTTTATATAACTGCCTGTTTCTGTCGTTAATTCTTGCCCATTGTTTATATATTTTACATTTAACCAACACAATAATATTTTTTTAAATGAATCCAACATAAACCTTTCATTTAACAGTAAGAAGAACAGAGTTTCGAAGGTAATTTGAAAAGTTTTGAAATCGAAACATTTTTCTTACATTTGGTATTTTGCATGCTTGTTCTGCTTGTTCAAAACTGTATTCAAATGCGATTGAAACCTAGTTTATAATTTTGTCATACAGCTTCCTGGTTTGTATTTGATTCAACATTGTAAATTTGAGTAGATCTTTATGATAATTAATATATACAATTAGATTTGGTATTTTGCGGCATTCGAAATTGCCAAATTGAATCTAATAGATTTCCTATTTACAGCATTTGGAACAGAATGTGTTACTCCTTAGATTTTGGTACAGACTGGATATATGAAACATTCAAATTCCGCTTGTTTCAGGTCATATTAATTTCGTTAAAGTCGAACTGTTGATCCCGTACACAAGCGTTCTGTTGGCCCGGTTGGCTCGTAGTTAGCCAAGGCGCCAATGTTTGCACCGCGGGGCGCATTTTGGATGCAGATGAAGCGAATTTTCGTATTTTTTTTTTCGGTTTTTTTTTTTTTTTTTTTTTTGAACAACCGAAACGATTTACCTTGTGAGCAGCATATTTAGGCGATTTTATTGCATTGCCTGTGAAATGAGAAATAAAACAATGTTGTCGCTGTGCTCCATCTGCGATATGTCCAATGGTGTTGTTGGTGTTCCTTGGTGATGATATGTGCGTGCGTGTGCGTGGCTTTCGGCTTTCTATTTGCCGTGCAGGAAGGAAGTTGTGAATCTTTTTGGGCAACGTCTGACAGCTTTGGTAAACCAAAGATTGTATTTTTTTTCCCGTTTCGTTTTTCTTTTTAGGGTTTTTTTTTTTTTGGTTTGGAGAAGGGTGTCTACTGCTTCTTGTGCTTTGCAACGTATTGGCGAATGACGGGCGTTGGTTTTTAGTTTTCGAAAACATTTGAAAAGTAATCGTTCAACGAACCGATTGACAAGGTAATCTTCCTGGAAACATGTGTTCACAATATCAAGGCCGTGCCACACACGCCCAACACACTGGCACACCCGCACACTCGCACACACACACACACACACACATGCGCTGATTCAGGTTCGGCGCGTAGATGGACAACGGTTGCGGCTGTAAAAGTTTGCAAAAGAAAAACCCCCCGACCAGCTGTACGTTGGGCTAATGTTGCAGCAGCATGAAAATGATGTAAAAACGGGCAAAAGCCAAACAAGTGGAGAAAATAAAACACGAAATGAAAAAAGGCAAACGTGATGGGCGAAAGTTGAAGCCTTCTGATAAGATTCGACGAACGGCTTTTTTGGGCAGCATTGAAAAGGGTTTTTCTGGTCAGAAGTTGGCATAGGGAAAAGGGTGCGCGGGTGCACATTTTCTCGCTTCATCACTTATGCATGCTTTGGTCTATTAGATTTCCGTTTCCGGTTCAACTGTAACGCATGAAAGTTACACAACGTGTTTGAGGTTTTACGCTCTCTTGGCACACACGTCAATGCGATTTGAACCGCTAAGGCTCACACACCTGGCCCGGCTTATAAGCATCCTCAAAGTGTACGGGGGCCAAGTGTGCCCGGCGACAGAGCCCACAGATGCCGGGCCACATGTATTATATTTTCGACTTTGTTGTTTTTTTTTTTTTTTTTTCGGCTTGTTTAAAACTTGTATTTCCATACTCTAACCCGAATTAGATCCTAAACACTTCACGTGTGCCATAAAATAGTAGTATATTCCTGATCTTGACAAATGATCTTAAATTATTTATGGACATCTTTAGTTAATTATCGGATGTTCAGCGTCATTTTATAATATTTTTAGTATTTCATTTAATTTTGTATTAATTTACTTCTTTTTTTATTTTCAACTCTTCTATTTTAAATCCTTTAATATATTATTTGTGGCTTTATATTAGTTTACACTTTTATTTGTATTTGAAATCTATTTTATATCATAATTTTTCAATTTTTTTTAAATATTTTGTATTATTTTTTTTTGTAAATATACGATTTTTTTCACATTTTTTTGTTATTTAATTTGTTTGCTAGTTTATGTTTTCATAACATTTATTTTTAATCCATTTTCTCTCAAGTTCTCCAAGAGATTCATTTTAGCCAAAGTTTTGTTCAACCTCTTTTAACCTATAACCTCCTGGTAAGGGTATATTATCTTCGTTGTGCACATGAGCTCAGCTTGAGCTGAGCACTTTGAAAAGTTTTTGACATTGGTGCCCTTTGTTGATGTAAGCATTTAATTCGTTCTATGCCGTTGGAACTCAAGCGATAAGGACGAACGTTTAGGACCCGAATGGTTAGATGGATAGATGGATGGACGGATGGGTGGGTGGGCAGTTGGGTAAGTGGTGAGGGGGCTGGAACGTTGGCAGCACAAGTTTTTCACCAGTCGATGAAAAAACAAAAGGGTAAGGATACACACATGCATACATATATGTATATATATATATATATATGTGTGCATATAAAAATATACATATATTATAAGTATATAGAAAGGGGATGCCGGCGTTTATCCTTATACCCATTGCAAGTTATTGTTGCTGATTTCTTAAGTGGCTCCCTTCGAACATTTTAGATTGTTTTGCTATTGCGCAATAAATAAAGAAACACTTTTACACAATATGTTCAATGATGAATCAGCCAGTCGGCTTTTCGTGCATATTAATGGATGTTTAAGAGACTCCTCTTTCAAGTTATCCAAAAAAGTACTCAAGGGTTGAACACTGCTTAACACATCATCAAATTTGAACTTAGAATTTCATTTTGTTTTGGTTAAGTAGCTAACTTTAAAAATTGAATATTTGATTTTACTTAAATATATGAATAATGAATATAATATTTAAATTATATTTAAGCTTTAGTCAAGATCTAAATTGATTTTAATGTGAAACTAAATACATGATCTGTAGCCCGTATCTGTGATATGACTTCGTGTCCTTGATGATATTACGTGATTTTCATTGTATTTAGTTCACAATATACCACTCAAATTAGAATATTTTGAGTAGAGAAACAAGTGTAATCAATACAAAGAAGCTTATTTGAAATTAGATCGATCAGAGAAAAGATGGTATATATATATCTGCAATTCGTTTAATATTATATGCATATTATACTCAGGGAAGAAAATTAAAATAAAAAAATTAAAAATGGATCTAAATAATAGAAACAATTTTATTTGAGAGCAGACTACAATAGGTGAGGTCTATCGAAGAAAATATTGTATATATGTGCGTTATATAGATATTATACGCAAATAGGAAAATTTAAAAAATTAATTAATAAAAATTAAAGTAATTAATGGTAAGAATTTAAAATCAGCGAAGATCTAGCCAAGTTCTATC